CCCCCCCCAGGAATATAATTAATGACTGTTTCAATATTTGCCTGATTAGGGGCACAATATTATTCATCACTACTGTAAAGGAGCGACATACTGTTTACGGAGCTTATTGTAAACTAAACCACTTAACTAGAGCATTAGGTGGCGTAGGGAGGCTAATGATAAAAGCTGAGTATTTAAAACATTTAGTTTTGAGAAAGACCTAAGAAGGCTTTAAAATCTTGATGTTTCAGGTAGTTAAAAATTGTGGCCTTCACTCAAGGCTGTTGATGTTTTAATTATCTTGTTAGAACAAATGCAGAAGTGCTTTGTGCTGGATTGAGCAAAACATCTAAGACCAGAAAACTTTCGATACTTGAATCAGTAAATTGAAAGAAAATGGAAATGTCTTAAAATGTTTTCAGTGTTTCCTGGCTGGCATGGCTCAGTGGTTGAGCATCAGCCCATGAACCAGGAGGTCACTGATCGATCCCCAGTGGGGCATGCAGGGGGTAGCCGATCAGTGGTTCTTTCTCATCATTGATGTTTCTCTCTCTCTCCCTGTCCCTTCCTCTCTGAAATAAAAATATATTTAAAAAATTTTTTTTAATGTTACATATTCAAAAAATTCAGTTATGTCAACAATCACTAGTTGTGCACATTTGCCATTCTTTTGTGGATTTTCAAGTTCTTTTTGGCCGTGCTATTTATCACTAAGTAGGAATGCTATAAACATAAATTTCCATGGAGCAAAGCCAAAGAAGTCCTCTCCAAAGTAATGATGTCAGCAGCTACGTGGGGCAGCCTAAGTCAGATCCTGATTCCTGACCTGGTAGCTCTGGAAGCCTGGTTTACTGATAAAGCCTCCACTGTCAGACTCTCCAGTCCACATTATTAACCCTTTCTTCTCCCTCCCACCTTCAACAGCCGACTTTCCTTAGTGGGGAAAGAAGAATCCATATCAGGAAAAGGTCAGAGCTCCTGACCTACCTCCCAGCATTTTGGGCTTTTGGAAGAGAATAAATAAAATAATATTTTGAAAGTATGCCAGACTCCTGCGTGGGTATGTACTAAGTCTGCTTATAAAGGTCGGTTTGGTTTTTTAGTTTTTTTTTTTTAGGTCGGTTTGTTTTAAGGCAGCGAAATTTAGGGCCCATAACCAGTTATTAGCAAAAAAAAAAAAAGGGTATTAGAACAAACAGTTCTTAAGATCTGCTTTTTGTTGTTATCTCCAGATCTGTTCTTTCAAGGTGACCATTTTATAAACCCTGCTCTAACTGCTTCCCATAGGAAGAGTATGCAAAAGTGAAAACTTTTTATAATTTTAGGATCTGGACATTTACCCGTGAGTTGTATTTAATAATAATGGATAAACACTCAAACCTTGTATATTTAAAATTTGCTGTCTTACACGTAACTTGGATGTTGAAAATAACACGCATTTCCCTATTGTTAGCAAAACATTAGGAAGATGTGGGGAGGTCATGGAAGTTAATGGACTGTTGTATAAATTTGTACCTTCCTATGTATGGTGGGCTTTAATTTCAGTACAGGAAAGGAACCATTTCCTAGTGCTAAGTATATTGTTAGCAGGTTCCATTCTGTTAAACTTAGTGGTTAATTATCAATAACAGCAAGCCCAGTGGTTTTGGGAAGCATATTAGTAACCATCAGATTTCCTCTTTAGAGGGCACTGACCCAAAGTATCTGACCTTGTTATATCTTAACTTATGACCTTGGGATCTTTGTAAAATGACTTATTTGGAGTAGGGGTATCCCTAAAAGCATTTTCAGTTCCTTTATACCAAGGAATTCTCCTTTCCGAATTCCTCTGTGACAGTAGGAAACAATATACTGTATTCCATTTCTTAAAGCATAGCTCTTTAATTGTGAATATTAGGAACTCTCGAGTAAAATTCTTAATCATTCATTTACTTAGTCTTACACAGTGGTTTCAGGTATGACTAAACGTTAAAACAATCTTAACTGGTTGTGATGGACTTTTTTTTCTTGTATAAATATGGTTTCTATATTAAATAAGTTTTTATAGATTTTTAATAAGGACTAAATACAGACCTCTGGATTTCACACACACACACACAATCTATTCTTTTCTGAATTTTCTAAGACTTTGAAATCAGTTGACTTCATTCCCTGGCTTAAAAACCCCTCACAACAATGAATATGCTTAATGCCACTGAGCTATAGACTTAGAAATGGTTAAAATGGTAAACTTTATATTTTGTATGTTTTAACACACCCGCACCCCACAGACATCCCATTATTGTCAGGAAAATCCAAACACCTTATCATAACCTGCAGGGCCACACATGATTTGGCCCCTGTTTCCTTCCCCGCTCCTCCCTCTACTCCCATTATGCTCCAGCCTTCCTGCCTTCTTTCAGTTCCTTAAATTTGTTTCTTAGCACTTGCTCTTAACCTCTGCTTCCAGTGCTCTGAGCCAGGTACTCCCATTCTTAGTGTAACCTTGTTTTCAAGTCTCAGCTCTAAGAGGCCGCCTCTGCTCATTCAAATTAGTGTGCACACACTCTGTCACTCTATCTCATAACTGTTGTTTTATTTTCTTTGTAGCACTGTCTACAAACGTCTTGCCCTTTTTCTTTTAATTTTCTTGTCTACTTCCTCTAGAGCAGTGGTTCCCAACCTTTTTTGGGTCGTGCCCCACTTAAGCATCTCTGAAATCCTGATGTGTCCCCACACACACACCCTCCACCCCCGGTGACATATAATTCTTATTATTCAAAAAGTGAATTTCTATTCACGTGGAGGAACCCTAAAAGGCCATTAACTTGGTCTAAACAAGCTTCCAAGGAACATGGCATCCATGAAAGAGAAAAATAAAAGAACGAAAGAACAGTTGAAGTACTGAGGAAGAAAACACTAAGAAATTGTTAAAAAATAATAATATGAAGTGATATGAAAAAATAGCAAATAAAGTTTCAAAACATAATAGAGAACTCAAATGCATAAATGTCACATATATTTAACTGTATATGATGAGGCCCCTAGAACCATAAAAAATGCAAAAAAAATCACTGTTAACTCATTCTTGAATTGCCCCCCTGTGGGGCATATGCCCCACAATGGGAACCACTGCTCTAGAGTGTAAGCCAGGGGTGGGCAAACTTTTT